CCCAGCCCCCCCTCAATGTAACTACTAAGCTAAATGTAACAACTGAGTTCTGGTTAAATGTAACTACAGAGGACACCATGCAACATATATACCCTCTGACAAAGAGCCTGCAGAGAGACAGAGAGAGGGAGTGAGAGAGCTTTTTCCCTGACTTAGGTTCTCCCTGCCAGGTGGTTTCGTGTTTTTGTATTTTTTTCTGTAAATAAATCCTGTCTTACCACTGATCTGTGGTCTGTGGATTCATTCTTCGAATCACTGAGACCAAGAACCTATTGAAGATGAAATCCAATACTAGCAGCATTCACAAGAGCCAAAAACCAGAAAAACCCAAATATCCATCAACGGACGAACAAATAAACAAAATATGGCATATTCATTGTAAGACAAATGAATATTACTCTCCCCATAAAGAAGAGTGAGGTATTGATATATGCTATAACATAGATGAACCTTAAAACATCATGCTAAATGAAAGCCAGTTACAAAACAGCACATATTAAATGACATCATTTCTATGAAATGTCCAGACTAAGCAAATCTAACAGAGACAGAAAGTAGATTAGTGGTTGTACAGGAGTGAAGTAATCTGTGTGCCATAATAGAACAGCATAGATGGAGTGGTTTATAAACAACAGAAATTTATTTCTCACAGTTCTGAGGGCTAAGAAGCCCAAGATCAAGGTACTGGAAGATTTGGTGTCTGGTGAGGGCCTACTTCCTGGTTCACAGAGGTGAGAAAGCTCTCTGGTTCACAGGGTGAGAGAGCCTCTTTTATAAAGGTACTAATCTCATTCCCGAGGTTCCATCTTCATGACCTAATCACTTCCCAAAGTCCCCACTTCCTAATATTATCATACTGAGAATTAGGTTTCACCATGTGAATTTGGAATAGACACAAATATTTAGAACAGTGGTTCTCAATCTTCCTAATGCCATGACCCTTTAATACAGTTCATGTTGTAGTGACCACCAACCATAAAATTATTTTCGTTGCTACCTCATAACTGTAATTTTGCTACTGTTATGAATTGTAATGTAAATATCTGATATGCAGGATGTATTTAGGCAAGCCCTGTGAGAGGGTTGTTTGACCCCCAAAGGGGTCACGACCCACAAGTTTAGAACCGCTGATTTAGACCATAGCTTCAAATAATTACCAAAGAACAAGAAATTTAGGTATAGCAGGTTCTTAATGAGTAGTATTATTACTATCACTTATTACCAGGATACTTTTTTCTAGTATTTGAACAACATAAAACTAACCCCTTGACTATGGAGAGTGAAACCTGCCAATTAAGGTGCACAGGAATCTTGCAGTGATCAGATCATTAGGATATACAGAGGTGCTCTTTTGTTCATTACCATGAAAATGCAACATTTGTAACAGTAAGAAATATATAGGTCCCTCATGCCCCCAACTTGAATTGAATGAGTTTTTCTCCTATGGGGGCATGAATAGGATTGTCTATTGGCTTAATATTAGTATTGAGCACAATGAAAATTTGCTTTTCCATTCTTGTGATACTTTACTGAGATTATGTTTTACCTCCATCCAGGTTAATACAAAAGATATGAAGTTACTGTCTTTCTTATGGCCAAATAGTATTCCATGGTATACATAGACCATAGTTTGTTAATCCATTCCTGAGTTGATGGGCATTTAGGTTGTTTCCACATCTTGGTGGTTGTAAACTGAGCTGCAATAAACAATCTAGTATAAATGTCCTAATGATAAAATGATCTTTTTCTTAAGGGTAGATGCCTAATAGTGGGATTACAGGGTGAAATGAGAAGTATAATTCAAGTTCTTTGAGGATTTTCCATACTGATTTCCAAAGAGGTTGTATGAGTTTGTAGACCCACCAGCAATGTAAAAGTGTTACACTTTCTTTCCACATCCCCATTAGCATCTGCAACTCTTGGACTTTGTGATGTGGGCTAATCTTACTGGGAGTAGGTAATATCTCAAGGTGGTTTTGATTTGCATTTCTCTAATGATCAGAGGCAATGAGCATTTTTTCATGTTTGTTAGCCATCTGTCTGTTTTCCTCAGGAAGGTTCTATTCATGTCTCTTGCCCAATAATATATGGGGTTGTTAGCTCTTTTTTTGTTAATTGGAGTTCTCTACAGATCTTAGTTATCAAGGACTTTGTCAGATTCGTAATATGCAGATATCTTTTCCCATTCTGAAAGTTATTTGTTTTGATCATTGTGTCCTTAACTGTGCAAAAGCTTTTCAGTTTAATTAAGTCTCATTTGTTTATTTTTGTTGTGGCTGCAATTGCCACTGAAGTCTTCTTCCTAAAAATTTTTCCCTACGCGGACATCTTCAAGAGTTTTTCCCACACTTTCTTCTAGAATTTTTATTGTTTCATGTCTTAGATTTAAATCTTTTATCTAGGGGCAGCGCCTGTGGCTCAAAAGAGTGGGGTGCCGGCCCCATATGCCAGATGTGGCGGGTTCAAATCCAGCCACGGCCAAAAACTGCAAAATAAAATAAAATAAAATAAAGATAAATCTTTTATCCATCTTGAATCAATTTTTGAAAGTGGTGAAAGGTGTGGGTCCAGTTCCAGTCTTTTACATGTGGTTACCCAGTTCTTCCAGCACCATTTATTGAATAGGGATTCTTTCCCTAGTATATGCTTTTGTTTGGTTTATCAAAGATCAGATGGCTATAAGAGAGCGGTTTCACCTCTTGGTCTTCTATTTGGTTCCAAATGTCTATGTCTCTATTTTTGTGCCAATACCATGCTGTTTTAATCACTGTGGACTTGTAATATAGCCTAAAGTCTGGTAGGGTGATGCGCCTGGCTTTGTTCTTATTACTAAGAATTACCTCGGCTATACGGGTTTTTCCTGGTTTCATATGAAATGAATAACTATTTTTTCCAAATCTTCAACGTGTGATGTTGGTATTTTAATGGGAATTGCACTGACTCTGTAGACTGCTGTGGGAGATATGAACATTTAAACAATGTTGATTCTTTCTAGCCAGGAGCATAGTATGCTTTTCCATTTGTTAATGTCTTCTGAAAAGGAGAACTACAGACTAATTTCACTAACAAATATAAATGCAAAAATACTCAACAAAATCTTAGCCAAAAGATCACAGCTACACACACAAAAAAATTGGGGCTGGGGCTTAGTGCCTGTGGCTCAAGCTGCTAAGGTACCAGACACATACACCTGAGCTGGCAGGTTCGAATCCAGCCTGGGCCTGCCAAACAACAATGACGGCTACAACCAAAAAATAGCTGGGCATTGCGGCAGGCGCCTGTAGTCCCAGCTACTTGGGAGGCGGAGGCAGGAGAATCACTTGAGCCCAGGAGTTGGAAGTTGCTATGAGCTGTGATGCCAGGGCACTCTGCCCAAGGCGACAGCTTGAGGCTCTGTCTCAAAAAAAAAAAACTGGGGCTGGGCAGTGACTTACACCTGTAATCCCAGCACTTGGGAGGCCGAGGCAGGTGGACTGCCTGAGTTCACGAGTTCAAGACCAGCCTGAGCAAGAATTAGACTCCATCTCTAAAAATGGGTGGTGTGGCGAGCGCCTAAAATCCCAGTTACTTGAGAGGCTGAGGCAAGAGGACTGCTTGAACCCAAGAGTTTGAGGTTGCTACAAGCTAAGATGCTATAGCCCTCTACCAAGGGTGACCAAGTGAGACTCTATCTCAAATAAATAATAGAAAAATAAAATAAAATAAAAATAGCCAGGCATTGTGGCAGGCACCTATTAGTCCCAGCTACTTGGAAGGCTGAGGCAAGAGAATCACTTTAGCCCAGGAGTTTGAGGTTGCTATGAGCTATGACCCCAGGGTACTCTACCAAAGGTCACAAAATGAGACTCTGTCTCAGAAAAAAAAAAAAAAATTATACATCATGATGAAATAGGCTTCTTCCCAGAGATGCAAGGCTAATTTAACATATACAAATCCATAAGTATAATTCACCTTATCAATAGAAGCAAAAACAAAGACCATGTGATCCTCGCATTAGATGCAGAAAAAGGATTTGATAAAATTCAGCATTCTTTTCTAACAAGAACACTCAAGAAAATAGGCATAGGTGGGTGGTGTCTGTGGCTTAGTGAGTAGAGCGTCAGCCCTATATACTGAAGGTGGCGGGTTCAAACCCAGCCCTGCCAAGCTGCAACAACAAAAAATAGCTAGGTATTGTGGCGGGCGCCTGTAGTCCCAGCTACTCAGGAGGCTGCGGCAAGAGAATCCTCAAGCCCAAGAGCTGGACATGGCTGTGAGCTGTGACACCACGGCACTCTACCAAGGGCAATAAAGTGAGACTCTGTCTCTATTAAGAAAATAGGCATAAGTAACATATTTCTTAAACTGATTGACATCTATGACAAACCCACAGCTGATATACTGAATGGAATAAAACTGAAAGCTCTTCCACTTAGAACTGGAACCAGGCAAGGATGACCTCTATCGCCACTACTTATTCAACATAGTTCTGAAAGTTCTAGCCAATACAATCAGGCAACAGAAGGATATAATAGGCATCCAAATGGGGGCAGAGGAGGATAAACTCTCACTCTTTGCCAATTCTAAGATCTTATACTTAGAAAACCCCAGAGACTCAACCACAACACTCCTGGAAGTGATCAAGAAATACAGTAACACCTTAGGGTAAAAATTGTTCACAAATCAACAGCTTTTGCATATGTCAATAACAGCCAAGTTGAGAAGCTAATCAAAGACAAAGGTCTCTTCATAGTAGCTTCGAAGAAAATGAAATACCTAGGAATATACCTAACAAAAGAGGTGAAGGATCTCTATACAGAGAATTATGAAACCCTAAGAAAAGAAATTGATCCTTTTTAATGACTCTTATAAGACTTTGTATTTGGAAAATGAATAGGCACCAAACTAACATCTTGTTTGAAAGTCTATAGGCATTGTTGATATGCAAAGTCAAAAGGTTAAGTATGTAAATTAATAAGAAACCACAAATTAGAGCTTAATAAACTAAACACTTTACTTACCTCCTAGGGGAGAAGGAGAATCATGCCCTCCAATGACCACATGGATACCGGAACCTTCTAGCTTCACCTTCCATTTGTCTAGGATAGTCCCAGACTTGTCCTGAAAGCATGAGGTTGGCGGGTCAGGAAAATTCCCTCAGAACAGTCAAACATAACTTATATACCAGGGCTAAGTCACCCAACAGGAAGTTCACAAATACCTTACTGGCATCATTAAATACAGAGAGCTCCATGGTTCCTTCAAAGTCTTGCTGTAAAACAGAACTCAAACATTCATCCAACCATGGTTCAGCATTGTGGACTGGGAGAATAATAGACTGGAATTCAAAGGAAATGGATTAATGTAAGTATGAAAACTAAATTCCCTTCCCACTACTCTAGCATACTTCCCTGTCACCCCCCACTGTGCTTATTTCAGATGGCAAAGCCTAATTCACAGAATAACCCAGGATAAGGCCTCCACAGAAAGAACATTCTCTGACACACAAAAGGTATCTATTCTTTCCCTCCAAGCCCTTAACATTGTTTTACTCCATAAAATTTATCATGTCTTTGATTTTCCTGAATTGATCTTCCTTATGCTTTTAAAAGAGGAAAAAACCCTGAGAGGCATCAGAATTGTTCCCAATTCAATGACAAATTCATTGTTTTCCAATCACTAGTCAGAACATTATCATTTGGTTGAAACAAGCATCTGTGTATCTTCCAATCCATTCATGAAAATAATTGATTAGAGGCCAGGTGGGGTAGCTCACATCTATAATCTCAGCCCTCTGGGAAGCTGAGGCAGGTAGATCACCTAAGCTCAGGATTTCAATATAAACCTAAGCAAGAGAGAGACGCTATCTCTAGTAAAAATAGAAAAAACAGCCAGGCGTTGTGGCAGGCACCTGTATCCCAGCTACTTGGGAGGCTGAGACAAGAGGATTGCTTGAGCTCAGGAGTGTGAGGTTGCTGTGAGCTATGATGACATCACAGCACTCTACATAGGGCAGAGTGACACTCTGTCTCAAAAAACAAACAAACAAACAAAAAACTAGACATTTTCTGGGTGGAATAAACATTTCAGCAAACTATAACAAAGTGGCCCCTTTAAGTACCCTCCCAAAGAATGCTTTAACAAAGTATGGGGGGAAGAGGTTGTCCAAAGGCGCAAATGGGACATATGATGTCCATTTCTATCTTCCTTTGTTCTACACTTAGTTTAGGGCTGGTTTGCCAGTAGCATTGTCCTTTTCTCATGGAGCCCAACAAATAAAATGAACATTTCTAAAATGTATGGAGTAAAACATTGATACCTGATTATCAACAAAATAACTGATTACAGGAATTATCTTAACTTTATACATTATCATATTATGCAATAGAGAATATTAATACAAGTTAGTGTGTTCTCACCTTTGACGTTATACCCTTATGAAGAAAAGTGGAAAAATTCCTAAACAAGAAAACTAAAGTATAGGCCAGACAGGTGTGTAGCTCTACACACACATACACACGCACACTTACATATTATGTGTATATTGTATGTAACTACATAATAGATATGATTTTTTCAATACTAAATTCAAACGGTTATGAAAACCTCATAGATAACGACTGTTGAAAATTTAATTCAGTCAAGCTCTTTTCAAACAAACATCACCCTGAAGATGATGGATAATCCACCCTGAGGCTCCAACAGTGATACCCCTTCCTGGACTTAGCTCTATGTGCATAAAACTAGTTCTGTAATTTCTTTACATATTTGCCTTATTTTATTTTTTGTCTTACTATTTTTTGAGACAGAGTCTCACTTTGTCACGCTGCGTGGACTGCCATGGGATCAAGCGATCCTCCTGCCTCAGTTTTCCTATTTTTAGTAGAGACCAGGGTCTCCTCTTACTCAGGCTGGTCTCAAACTGTTAAGCTCAGGGGATCTACCTGCCTTGGCCTCGCTGAGTATGTTTACCTTACTTTGGATTTACTGCTTAAAGGAAAAGGAAAGAATTTTTTTTCTCCAACACAAAACATGAGAGTTTCTGTCAAAGATAGACCTTGATTAACCTCTGCCCCCAATTTTAGCAAGACTGACATAGAAAACAGAATCGAGCCTCCCTTGGGACTGTCCCCAACAGCATAGCTCAGCCGCAAGCCCCTACACCGGCCTCCAGCTCCGGCCTCCTGCAGACGCCCACACTGCAGGTGCGCTGGACCCGGTGCGGACGTCGTCCCCGCCCCCCCATACCCGGGGGAAAAGGGGCCCTGCGTGCGTTCGGAGACGAACGTCCTGCACCGGGACGCCTACAGGGGCTCCTGAAGATGCATGCGGCCGTGCGGACAGGCAGACACCTGCCGTGAACACACTCCCACCACAACTCCAACCACCACGGAACGCCTTCCGCGCCTTCGAACTTCTGCGTCCAGCTGATGCCTTTGGGCAGAGACCCTCCCAGACAAGCCCCAGAGAAGTGGTGCGCAGGAATGCAGACCTTCCCCGGAGGGAGGGGCGGGGAGGAGAGGGGAGGGTATGGAAGAGGAGGAGGGGATGGAGGGGGATGGGAAAAGGCGAAGAGGAAGGGAGCCAGGGGAGGGGAGGAGAAGGGAGGAAAGAGCAGGAAGAGAGGCAGGCGGGAGGAAGGGGGTAACCGGGAAAGAGGGGAGGGCGGCTGCGGGCCTAAGAGGAGCTGGTGACTGAGAGGACATGAGGAAGAGGGGATGAGGGGACAAGGGAGTCAGGGTGACAGGAAGCAAGGAGGAGAGGCGGGGGCTGAGCGGCCCAGAGACGAGGGAGGCCGTCCCGCACCTACCACGCGGGACCCCGGCCGGGTCACAGCGGGTTCCCTCCTAGTCTGCATCGCCCGCTCCTCGCCCCGCCCCCGCGTCAGCGCCGCCAGCGCGGGTCACAGTGCCTGCTCCTAGGGCGCGTGCGCGGACGGCTCCGGGAGAGGGCGTGGCGCCCGACTGCCTGTGATTGGTGGAGAGAGCTAAGGACAGGGCGGGATTTCAAGCACTGAGAAGCGCGCACAGGGCGAGCGTGGAGCTCCGCCCTTCGCCTTTGATCCACCCGGTGCCCAGAATGGAGAAGCTGACTGGAAAGGGGCACCCTGAGGCCCCCTGATCTGCCCACTTCAGAGAAGCCGACTGGAGAGGGGCACCCTGAGGCTCTGAGGCTCCCTGAGCTGCCCAGATGGAGAAGATGACTGGAAAAGGACTCCCTGAGCAACCGCACATGGACAATGTTCACTGGTGATGGGGCTTCGTGAGTGGTCGATAAGTATTAACTGCTGTGAATAACCCTGTGGTAAATGAACACAAAAGAGTTCGGAAAATGAAGTTCTCAAACTCATCTTGAAAAAGTGCTACATACCTCATTGATGAGCATCACTGCAGCCACCAGATGGCCAAAGGGAGTGTAACAGAAGTGACATTCAGCAGGGAGATAATGTAGTACTTTTTCTAGGATGCCTTCACAAACTTAATTGTCAAATCTTGTAGATTATGGCCAGTCAGGATTTGTTCAACTGGCTTGCACTAATGATCCCAGTCCTAATTAATTTATAAGCATTACTTTCAGGACAAATACTTAGCTGTCCATACTACAATTAAATGCAAATTATTCCATAAATTAACTGTTACAACAAATCCCAATTTCTGGTTCAGGATCACTTCAGATGTGGTTTCTTTTTCCCCTTAAATTTCATCACTATTTGCAAATTCCGTTGTAGTAGTTGAAACACTTAAGGCAGATGACTAAGAATACACCTTGGGCGCCACCTGTGGCTCAGTGGGTAGGGCACCCATATAACTGTGGGTGGTGGGTTCAAGCCCGTCCCTGGCCAAACTGCAACAACAACAACAAAAAATCGTCGGATGTTGTGGCAGGTGCCTATAGTCCCAGCTGCTTGGGAGACTAAGGCAACAGAATTGCCTAAGCCCAAGAGCTGGAGGTTGCTGTGAGCTGTGACGCCATGGCACTCTACTGAGAGCAACAAAGTAAGACTCTGTCCCTTAAAAAAAATTAAAATACACCTTACTTACAGTCCAACAAAAGCAATCTGAGATTTGCTTCCAATGACCTAATGATCTCCAGAGATTGGTACCTTATGAACAGTTTCATTTTTAAATGACAGGATGCACTATAGATTCATGGTAGTTGATAAGGGTCAGAGACAAGAGCTGCTGATGGTTTCTGTGCACTGTCAGAGCACATGACATCCAAAATTGGCTTGGATTGTCTTGTCTTCCTTCATGTATGTCTTCTGCTGCCACAAATTTGCTTTTCACTACCTTCCTCCTAATACAAAATAAATTTGAATCTGCTTTTTGGAAATATTCAAAACTCCAAGATGCTTTTCAGAAATAAAAGGTTGTAGTGGAAGAAGATTCTAAAATCTAAGGGTGGTGGGGCCTGAGGTCATTTCCCCCATCGTAGGAAGATAGATTCTCAAGGCTGACCGAGGGACAGAGCCATGGGACTTACATCCCTATCCTGGTGAGGGATAGGAAGGAGCCTGGGGTGCATCAGAGTTGCTGGATTGAGATTGTGTGGTCTTAAATCAGAGAGAAGTGAGGTGGTGATGGAAGAGGAACCATGTCATATGGGAACCTGAAGGGAAAGCAATACAAAACTCCCAACAGCTTTATGCTCACTGAGTGGACAGTTTTCTTTATTTTTAACTGTAAAAATGCAAAATATTTGGCAACTATATTTGGAGGGCTCAGTGCCAACTGTCAAGGGCTTGGAAGAGGAAACAACCAGATGCCCCCCCCACCGCCAGTCTATATGTTGAAGTCTTACCTCCAAGGTGATGATGTGAGGAGATGGGGCTTTTAGAAGGTGAGTAGGTCATAAGAGTTTGCCCCTACAAGTAGAATGAATGGCCTTGCGAAATAAATGTGAAGGAATTTTAGTACTAGACTTCTCAATCTCTGGAACTGTGGGCAATAAATTTCTATTATAAGTTACAAGATATTTTGTTATAGCAACACAAATGGACTAAGACACCTAGTACCCAAATTTAAGAACTGCACAACAACTCTTTACAATGCTGATATAGGAGGCAAAGATTCACTCCAGGTCATCGGGAACATGGTAAGGCTCCAGGGCACTAAGCTCCAGTGAGAATGATTCTGCCATGAGCACAGTCAGTAAAGGCTGAGTTCAAACTTTAAAAATAATAGCCAGACCCTGAGAACTCTGTGTTTCCTTTCCAAGTTTCCCAATGGAACAAACCTTGATGGAGCTCTGACTGGCCCTCTGGATGCTGCTCAGAAGTCAGGGTCACTCAGGACCATAGGAGATTCTGCATGTGGTGAACATTCCCCTCCAATAATAAATCAGTTCATAAGGAGTAAACCAACTATTTGACAGCATATTATGAGCACTGAGTTTATCTCTTCTATTCTTGTGCAAGTTTTAAAGGCTGGCCATAACTTACTGTGTAGATTTAATGTCTCATTAATGAGTTAAAGCTCAGGCTTTTTAAATAAGTAATTTATGGGCTGTGCCTGTGGCTCAAAGGAGTAGGGCGCCAGCCCCTTGCCAGAGGTGGCGGGTTCAAACCCAGCCCTGGCCAAAAAAATAAAAATAAAACAACTGCAAAAAAAAGTAATTTACAAGATAGTAGACCAGGTATGGATATGATCCCATGAATTCTGTCTTTTAGCAGCACATATTCCTAGATACAAACCTGTTGAGGAATTCTAATTGCTATGAGGAAACCTTATAGCATATTCAGGGGAATGATGTGATTCAGGGTGTGCATGCACCAGACTGGATTGAGGATGTGGCAGAAACTGACAGGACTGTGGGCTGATCCTAGGAAAGGAAAACCAAGCCTATGGGTGGGACCACACCTATGGTTCATCTTACAAGGGTACATGTGAATCTTTCTAAATATAGAATATAAATGTCTTAAAACAGTAACTAAGAAAATAACATGATGGCTATGTTAACCAGTTTGATGAAAGTATTTCAGATTGTATATAGAACCAGCACAGTGTACCCCATGACTGCATTAATGTACAAAGCTATGATTTAATAAAAAATAAAATAAAATATCTCATTCAGGAAAAAAAAAAAGGAAAAAGAAAACTAAGCCTGTGAACTTCAGACATCAAAGGTGAGGTGATTAGCAGACACCTAAAATTAAGCCACTTGACAGATGGATGGGACAGCTGTGTGTGTGTGTGTGTGTGTGTGTGTGGCCCCTGGGGAATTCAAGACCCCATGTAAGGCAGCACACATTGGATGTTACATAAATAACTAATGGGTGGGAGCCATTGTTCTATGAACTGCATTGTCAGGGATTCTGGAAAAAGGAGAATCCATTGACTTTACAAATAGTATGTCCTGGCTTGGCACCTGTGGCTCAAGCGGCTAAGGCACCAGTCACATACACATGAGCTGGCAGGTTCGAATCCAGCCCGGCCCACCAAATAACAATGATGGCTGCAACCAAAAAAATAGCTGGGCGTTGTGGCAGGCACCTGTAGTCCCAGCTACTTGGGAGGCGGAGACAGGAGACTCGCTTGAGCCCAGGAGTTGGAGGTTGCTGTGAGCTGTGATACCACAGCACTCTACCAAGGGCAACAGCTTGAGGCTTTGTCTCAAAAAAAAAAAAAATAGTATGTCCCTACACTTCAGGGCTACAAGACTGTACCTAACCAGAGCCAGCACTCCTCCTGGGCCCACTCAGGAAGGGCTGAGTTTCCCTTCTGTCACAAGAAGCTTTAAGATGTTCCACGTGGATTCTATGTGAGCATTGAGTGTCCCATAAGATTCTTGTCTTGGTCTGGGTCAGAGATTTGTATGTGGAGGCTCTGCTGAGGGGGTCCCTGACAAGGGCTGAACTCTTGGGCTTTTCCAGGGAGCCCTGGAGAGCTGTCCCCCTGAGCAGGGAGGAGACTTTCCTCATGTCAGCAGGGCGGCACCTCTGCCCTCAGGGTGGTGGCTACAAGATCCCGGTGGTGTCCTCAGCCTTGACTAACTGCAGATGCCACCCTTCTGAAATCGGAGTTAGGACCCAGAGGTGGGATGGACTGACTTGAAACCTGGTATGAGGTGGGAGGGAGGAAAGGTGGGAAACAGAACCAAATGTTATCTCCAGCAGGACAACCCCAAACAGGACCTACCACACTATACACTTAGCACTTGTGGACAATTCTGAAGTGGCTTCAGCCAACAGCTCTACAAATTCTAAGGTGACTTAAGTGGGGGGCATGTGCCTGCAGAGCAATGGCTGGGGTGGCCCCCAGTTAGGGCTCAGTGCACGTGAGTGGGTGTTGCCGTAGGGCTGCCTCATACAACTGTCAGATACAGGGTCAGAGAGATCTGTGCTGAGTAACACTCCACGTTCAGTTAGACATTTTACTCCTAAATATGAGCAATAAAATGTCTTGGGTGGGTACAACAGCGAGTTTACAGGGCACACTTACGTTGAGAAGACACACCTGAAAATGTTCTGTGGGAGAAAAGGATGCTGGGATCAACCCATGTCTGAGGGAATGTCGAGGAAAAACAGGGAGCAAGAGGACCATAGCACCTCGAGCGAGACCCAGCATCAAAGCCAGGTTCCAGCGACGTGCACTCCACCAAGCATCAGTTCTGGAAGACATTTGTGTGGCTCTAACCCAACTCATACCTCTTTGTAGCCTAAGCAAACTTGCAGTACGCTTACAGCCACATTCTTTCATCCACATTTGTATAAGCCCTAGGAGCTCCTTTGTCTGAGTGGTGGCATGAAGCCAGGGCTCAAGGGCCACCCAGGACCTGCATGTCCTGGGCATTGTGCTATGTGGACACCTACTCCTCATGGCAAAGTGGAAACCTCATTCATTGTTTGGGCAAAGGTTAGATCAGGTAATGCA